ATAAATGACAGAGTGAATAATCAAGTTTGTAAACTCATGAAAGAAAGGGAAGCAAAAGATAAGCTTTGCTCCTTTAGTCTCCCGATACTGAGATTAATGGCTAGTTTGGAAGAGGAGAGGGATTGAAGCCCTATTCTAGGCAATAACACATTATACACTTGAAGTGAATTGGAAATATGTTTTTTCTAGGGGTGACTGGGCATAGAAGGAGTGAAGAGTTTTTTTAAATTTCTGAGCAATGGATTCCTAAAATGTTAACAATAAATCTCATGTGTTGGGTCTATCCATAACCTACTTGGAGAAATCTGGTAGAGACTCCTACAGACTAATGTGTATTTACAGCTGTCATATGTCTTGGGTTGATAGATATCTATCCATCAATTCCTTCTATCTGCCCAATATATCTGGCATCTATCCTCTTCTTACCATTGTTCAATTCCTATGTTAATTGCTCATAATCTTATCCTTTCTCTCATTGTTTCTTAGATAGCTGCTTGGCTGGCATCATTGTCTTCAATTTACACTATCACTCCTCCACCACTTATAGATTTCTCAGGTTGCCTCAACCAACTCAGTCTTCCTGAGGTACCACCTTGAAATTGCAAAGCCCTGATCCACTGAATTTCATCATTATTTTTTCTAGACCAGTCCATCAACACATTCAGCTGCAACTTTGTACTTTCACTTAGGTGTACATCTCTGAAAGGCTGTAGAACCAGAATTTTTGGGACAATTGTAAGTGAAGAGACCCTGAGTTCACTCTCCAGGTCTAGACATTGCTAGAGTAATGCTAATACACAGCATGAAGCAAAATGCCATGCCTTTCAATTTCTTTTAATGTAGAGAGTTAGTGAAGAGGTTTCTGGATCTAGCTATTCTGCTATATCACTGTATGATGCTGGGCAACTTTAACCATTTATTTATTTAAATCATAAATCAGACAATTATAACTAACACTACCTTTTAGTGACTACGATGTACTGTGGCTGCACCAATAACTTGAATATACTTTCAGCTCTGAAACGACAGAGTGAAGTAGATTTAATGTTCCTCATTTTTACTGATGAAGACATTGAGATTTAAATAAGTCAAGTAATTTAGGCAGGAGATATGGTGAAACTATTCAATATTGGTTTTATTTGGCAGCAAATATCTTGTTCTTTCAAATAAATGACACTGTTTGACACAGATGTTAGTTGGATCCAGGTTTACTCAAAATATGGCACTTTTTCTTTATGGTTCTCAGTTTCCTTATCTGTCAAATCAGGAAATTGGACTAGTTTCTCTGTCTTTCTAACTCTGGCATTTTATGTTTGCTAGGTCAAGTGGTGCTGAAATAGAGTTCTCTTTTATTTTTCTATGTCTATACTCTGTTTTTATCCTTCTGAGAATCTTCTATCCCTAAAATTTTCTTGTTTCCTACTTTTTTCATACTATATTCCCCCAACAAGAACTTTTTCTTCCTTTCTATATATTAATTCAAGTGTCTTAAAATCTTGTTCAATCATTTTAAATGAGGATTTCTGATTTCTCTCTCTTCTCAACTAATTTGAGCTTGCTAATGATAGTGACTCTGATTCACATTATTATGGATTCACTCAACACAGTCTATGTATTATATTAGGAATTTAGTCAATTTGGTGCATGGATAAATGAAAAAAATCATCGGTTAAATCTGTGGATTATGTTTGTATGTTGCCAAGCATAGTCATAGGTTTCTGAATGTCAGTCCGGAAGAGACTTTTTGTGGTCCTCTTACCCATAACTGTTAGAAGCATTGCTCTTAGAAACACAATCTGGAATTCTGAGCCCTTTGCTGGGCTATAAGAAGGGAACCTCTTTGATCTCTTCCTTATGCAGGATATGAGACTGCCAACTGAGGCTACCCAATAGTCAGTTCTCCTTATTTCCCTGCTACCTCTGTTTTCTTGCCTTTGACTCTTCTTCTAGAGGAGACCAGAAGGACTGACAGAAGAGCCCCCCAGAACTCTAGAAATATAGAGTGATCTGAGTTTGGGCCATGGTTACTCACCCTGACTGATGTCCCACGCTGCTCTGTTGTACAACCTTCTATATGAGCACAGGAAGCCCCTGCAGCTAGGATACTCTTCATTTATTCTGCCACAGGGAAATTAAGCCAATCTTCAGGGACATCAGACCTTGATTCACAGAAGAATTGTTCTCTGTTGAACTTCACCCCTGGGACAGGAATATTTGGTGAGAGGGTGAGAAGGTCAAAGTAGGCTAGAGGGAACAGAGCAGACAGAAACACCCAGAGTGATTAGAGAATGAGCAATCAGGACCCTCTGGAATGCAGAGATTCTGGTTATCTAGCCCACATTGAACTTATCTAATACATGCTTTTGACAAATGTTTATGTCTCAGTGGCCTTTTTCTACTTGTTCATCTCGTCTTTAGAAAGAGTACCTTTCTATTTACTGGAAGGTGGCAGAGTTAGCTAACGTTGGAGTCAGACTTCTTGGGAACAATAAACCAGGTGAAGGCTTGGTAGGTCATGAAAAAAGAAGTAATGTCTCTGTCACAGAAGGAAAGAGGATTTTCACCAAAAGATCTTCAAGAATTTAAAGAATATGATGTCTGAACATAAATCTTGAGATTGCTGACCAAAGTATTGGAGATCAGAAAGTGGCATGTACTCAAGTGCTCTGGCTCACAGAGTGGCTGATTTGCTGTCATGGGATCTTGCATGTTATTGCCTTAGACCAAGGGATCCATTTGTGCTGAGGTTGTGACAATGGACATACAACCACAGGATCTACTTGTCCTACCTTATACCATATCATTTAGAAACTGTTGACTAGATAGAATATTTTAAAGTCTTTTAAATACCAGCTTGGGGATAACACCTTGTTGGGGTGGAATGTTGCCTTCAATATGCAATATTGGAATTAATAATGATTTTATGAAAATATGTCCTTGACAGTTAGCAAACATGCATATGGAAACCAAGGAGTGGAAGTGAAGTGGTCTTACACACCATCACTCTCAATAACCATTATCTATTTGTTTGTAATAACCCACTCTAAAACTTAGTGTCTTATAGCAATAATACTGCTATTCTTTCATGGAAATGAGAGTTGACTAGCTCAGCTAAGCAGTTGTTTTTCTTATGCAGTTGCTGAGAGTGGCTGGGGCTGTAATCTTCTAAAGACTCATTCACACATCTGTCACTTCGGTACTGAGTAGTTTCAAATAGTTATAGGCTGGAACTGCTAAGACTCCTTAGGTATATTAGGAATCTTATATACTTCTTTACTCATTTTATTCTCTATACCTATTTTTCAGATGAAGAAAATAATTCTCAGATTTGAGGTTCTGAGGGAGTGTTTTGCAGAAGCACAGGGAGAAGAAGAGTAATATTGAAATCAGTACTAGAACCTTAATCTTCTGATGTCCAGTCCAATATTCTTTCCAGCTGTTCACAGGCTGTTTCAACTTAACAAGAAGTATTGCAAAAGAGTCTATCTAATTGAAGTGTTTGCCAGAGCCAGAATCTTATGTTCTCTTCTGGGTGTGGTTCTGCCATTTTCAGTCCTAGAAAATTCACTTTGACAAAACTTTACCAGCAACATAAACTATCTATTAGCCCAAATATTATTGGGGATGTGGAGACAAATAAGAAAAAAAGTCCTTGATATGCGTGTGATGGCAAATTCATCACCGTGAGAGCATAAAACAGAAGACTGTAAGTGATGTATAAAGCTACAAAAATTCTTTTAGTATCCTACTTCAGTATCCCATTTGCCCTTCACATTGAAGCATAGTCTGTCAAAGTAGCATCATTAGGAAGCTCATGTCCAAAATCAAATTCAACTCCACTGGCATGGCTTTAAAAGAGTTATTTTTGCATGAATGCTGATTTCCTTTCCAGGCTTCATTCTCTTTTCTATTCATATATAAACATTTACTCTTCCATGAAAGCAGACTGGCTGACTTCTCAGTTTGCAATGTCTTTTCTGCTACTGTTTCTCAACTTTTCCCACATCTGTCTGTATTTTCTTATCTGCATAATATATTTCTCTTTTTGAAAGGAATCAACCCAGATAGAGCCTCCAGAAAACTCCTGAACCTCATGCTTCTCCTGTTAACTATTTATTTTTTTGCTTACCCATCTCCCTGTGGTTATCCTATATCTACTTGTTTTCTATGTACTCCAATAGACTATGAGGTGTTCAAGGAAAAACATTGGATACTCATTTCTGAGGCCTCAGAATCTTAAAGAAGCACAGAACAAGACTGATCAAAGAATGAATGAGTGATTGATACAATAATAATAATAATAGATAATCTTTATTGGTATTTACTATGTGATTGCTGGCATAGTGCCTAAGGCACTTGACTGCTAACCAGAAGGCTGGGAGTTCAAACCCACCAGCCACTCTGTGGAAGGAAGACTGGGCAATCTACTTCTGTAAAGATTTACTGCCTTGGAAACCCAATCGGGGTCACTATATGAGTCAGAATCGACTCGACGGCAGTGAGTTTTGTTTTTTTTTTTTAAATAATATATATCACTGTACACATACTAATCCATACAACAATACTGTAAACTAAGTACTATAGTCATTCCCATTTAATTGAAGAAGAAACCAAAGCACACAGAGGTAAATAACTTTTCTTTCTACCCAGCCCTCAGGATGATCTTTACACAACGCACTTTACCCTGTATCAAACATTTGTTTATTTGTGTATTTTATGTATGTATTAAAATGTGAGCTCTGAAGGAAGGGCAAGGGACACGTGTAAATCATTTACCTTTTCCTGATACTTAACACAGGGCCTGAAAAAAGTAGGCATTGAGAAAATACATGTAAACTAAGTGAAAGAATAAATGGGTGAGAACAGTTTCTCACCACTAACTAAAACTTTTCCCAGATGTCCTGAACAAAGCTCTAAACAGGACTTGATATACCTAGCAGTTGACTTCTTGTTCTATCAGGCTCTTTTCAGGGTTCTAAACCCAGAAGCATCTTACATCATCAGCTCTGGCTTTTCCCTCTCAGCACCCTAAGCATGGCATCCCTGATGGGCTTGGATTTGACACTGTAAATGATAGGGTTGAGCACAGGAGGCACCACCAGGTACACATAGGCAACCAGGGTGTGTACAATGGGGGAGAGATGTCTTCCAAAGCGATGAATCATAGACATGGTAATGACTGGGATGAAGAAGACAAACACAGCCAGGATGTGGGAGACACAGGTATTGAGAGCCCGCAATCTCTCCTTAGGAGAGGCCAGCCCCAAGACTGTGTATAGGATGAGGGTATAGGACAGGACAATAAGCAGGGAGTCTATGCCTCCTGTGGAAAGTACCACATAGAGTCCATAAAGAATGTTTATGGTTATGTCAGCACAGGCTTGCCTCATCACATCAGGGTGGAAACAGAAGGAGTGGGATAGGAGGATCTTGCCTGGGCAGAAGTTCAGACGTTTAATTAAAAATGGCACTGGGAAAAGGGATAGAGTAGCACGAGCCACAATGGCCATCCCAATCCTGATGATGACATTATCTGTAAGGACAGTTGCATAGCGTAAGGGGTTGGAGATGGCCACAAAGCGATCGAAGGACATGGCCAGGAGCACTGAGGACTCCACCACAGAGAAACAGTGTAGGAAGAACATCTGGACCAGGCAGGCATCGAAGCCAATGAGACGATGGTCAAACCAGAGCACAGCCAAAGTGGTGGGCAGTGTAGACAAGGTGAGACCCACATCAGTGAGAGCCAGCATGGACAGGAAGTAGTACATGGGCTGATGCAGGCTGGGGGTCCTCCTCACAGCCAGTAGGATCAGGCAGTTTCCAGTGAGGGCCACAGTGTACATGGAGGAGAAAGGAATGGAGATCCATCTATGGATGGCCTCCAGTCCTGGGATGCCAATCATCATGAAAGCAGGTGGCTGGTAGAAGGAGGTGTTGACATACATCTGAGAAGAGAGCATGCTTGAAAGGTAGGTGAGGTCTCCAGAATGAAGTAATCTCTTCAATATGTGCAGACAGAAAGACACTGAGAAAACATTTGTCATTAGAGAGACATTTATTTATAATATGCCAGCTTTTGCATTGATATTTTCCATTTTTCCTAGCCCTTGTTGTTGTTGTTATGTGCCGTCAAGTCAGACCCAACTCATAGTGACCTCCTTGGGTTTCCGAGGTGATATCACTACAGAAGTAGATTGCCCAACCTTCTTTCTGAGGAGTGGCTGGTGGGTTTGAATCACCAGCCTTCTGGTTTAGCAGTCAAGTGCCTTAGGCACTATGTTACCTTACTCTGTATTATTAACTTTTCCAGAAACTTGTATGCCTTAACTCATTTTCTCTAAAAAATGCAGTTTGTGGGGGATAGTTTAACTTCTCATGATTACCAGAAATTAAATACTTGAAATGAATTTAGGATTTTTTTAACTGTAAATTCTGTACTGTTTCCACCCTATTATGCAATGTCTTTATTAAATGAAGCAATTACTGTTAATACTCTCCTAAAGTGTACCAAACAAACAAACAAACAAAACTCAACACTCTATAAATGCTCATTATCACAATCATTCTCAAGGTTGGTATTTTTATTCCACTGTTACTGAATTTTGCTGTAGTCTAAGTACTTTTATCTTAATCATTTCACTGGATTCTCATAGTTACCTTATACTTTAGACAGGGGAAGGAGCCATTGTGGTGCAATGGTTAAGCTCTTGGCTACTAACTGACAGGTTGTTGTTGCTATGGGCCATCGAGTCGGACCCAACTCATGGTGACCCCTCCTTGTGTTTCTGAGGCAGTATCACTATGGAAGTGATTGCCCAACCTTCCTTCTGAGGAGTGGCTGGTGGGTTTGAACCTCCAGCTTTCTGCAGTCAAATGCCTTAGGCACTATGCTACCAGAGCTCCTAACTGACAGGCTAGTGATTTGAATCCACCATCTACTCTGTGGTAGAAAAGATTTGATGATCTGCTCCTGTAAAGATTACATTGACAGAGAACTTCCAGAAATGCAAACTGGATTCAGAAGAGGATGTGGAATGAAGGATATCATTGCTAATATCAGATGGGTCTTGGCTGAAAGCAAAGAATACCAGAAAGATGTTTACTTGTGTTTTATTGACTATGCAAAAGCATTAGATTGTGTGGATCATAACAAATTATGGATAACATTGAGAAGAATGGGAATTACAGAACACTTAATTGTATTCAGGATGAATCTTCACATAGACCAGGAGGCTGTTGTTTGAACAGAACAAGGGGACACTGCATGGTTTAAAATCAAGAAGTGAGTGGGTCAGAGTTTTATCTTTTCACCATACTTATTCAATCTGTATGCCAAGCAAATATTTGAGAAGCTGGACTATATGAAGAAGAGCATGGCATCAGGATTGGAAGAAGACTCATTAACAACCTGTGATATGCAGACGTCACAACTTTGCTTGCTGAAAGTGAAGATAACTTGAAGCACTTATTGATGAAGATTAAAGACTACAGTCTTCAGTATGGATTCCATTTCACCATAAAACAAAAATCCTTACAACAGGACTGATAAGCAGCATCACGATAAATGGAGAATAGATTGAAGTTGTCAAAGATTTCATATTACTTGCTTCCACAATCAACACCAATGGAAGCAGCAGTCAAGAAATCAGAAGACATATTGCACTAGGCAAATCTGCTTCAAAAGACCTCATTAAAGCCCTGAAGAGTAAAGATGGCTCTTTGAAGACTAAGGTGCCCCTAACCCAACCCATGGCATTTTTAGCCACCTCATATGCTTATGAAAACTGGACAATGAATAAGGAAGACTGAAGAAGAATTGATGCATTTGAGTTGTGGTGTTGGTGAAGAATACTAATAGTACCATGGACTGCCAGAAGAAGGAAGAAATCTGTCCTGGAAGAAGTGCAGCCAGAATGCTCCTTGCAAGTGAGAATGGCCAGACTTCATCTCACCTACTTTGGTCATGTGGTCAGAAGGGACCATTCCCTGGAGAAGGATAAAGTGGAGGGTCAATGAAAAAAGGGAAGACCCTCAATGAGATAGATTGACACAGTTCCTGCAACAGTGGGCTCAGATAAGCATGGATTGTGAGGATGGTACAGGACCGGTATTTTGTTCTGTTGTACATAGGGTCACTATGAGTTGTAGCTAATCTGATGGCACCTAACAACAACAACAACAACAGCATGGGGCAGTTCTAATCTGTCCTATAGGGTTGTCATGAAGCATAATTGACTCACTTGCTCACAGTAACAACAACAATATAGGCAGGACGGGAAATAGCTAAAGTAAAAAGAAGAAATTCTTGAATCCATCAAAGGAAGAGAAAATAGTGGCTTCCCCTGAATCAGCTACTCAAACTTGAGATCTTTTAGGATTTGAGGTGTTTAAGTACAAATCTTAGGACATTCTCTGTTAATCAAGTCCAGGTTAAGGGGGACAGAGAAAAGTACTAAGAGAGTTGGTAAATGAAATGACAAATGATTCTCTCCAGGTCACTAAGAATTCACAAATGTTTGGGATCCATAAATATTTTACCCAAAGAATATCATCCTGTGTCACTGGATGCCTTTTAATCTAGGCTGCAAATTGCCTTTCACCCCAATCATTAAGCATCCCACTCAACTTTCAGAAGCCAGCCAAACATCTTCAGTTCCTTAGTGCATTCCTCTAGAAGTCTTGATTTTCCCTAGAATGAGCCTCCTTGTAAAATGCTCAAATCTGGCATCTTCTGCC